CCAGCCAGGAGGAGTGAAGTCAGGCTGATATTCCCTCACAGGCCCCGAGTAAATGACAAATGACATTTTCCCTTTGTGATCTTTGGGATTTTTGTTGACTTATTTGGAGGCTTTTGTTGGATCCCAAGAAATGGCCTGTGGCTGAAGCCTATTCTCCCGATTTCCACGCTCCATCTGTGGAATCCATCAACGGGGCATTTACCCTCATTCAGAGCTCTGACACCTGCCTGGCAGGGAGCAGCAGACACAAAGAAAGCCAGGCATTTGAGAAAAGGGAGGTTGGTTGTTTTTTTGTGGGATTTTTTTTTCCAGAGGAGGGGGGTGGGTTGAAATGGATGCACAGTGGGGGTTAATCCAATCCAGTTGAGAGACTTCAGCACCTGGAAGCTTCTCTTCCACATTAATTCACAGGCTGAGAAGTGACCGGTCACACTGTTTCTCTGTGGCTTAAAGTTGTATATATGTCCAGAACAGAAAAGAGATACACGCTGACAGGAACAAGCCCAAGTGTTACAACCAAATCCTCAGGTAGATGAGCGAGTCTGTGCAGCGGAACAATCTATCAAGTAATCAACTGAAAGTCCCAGAATTCCTAGCCCAGAACTCGGATTTGAGTAATTGTTATTTTGTTAGTTGATAAAGTAGGAAAGATGAATTATAACCTCATCAGTGGTCCTTCTGGGGGTGGAGGGTCTTGTTTTGTTTGTATTGCCTCTACATTTGCTTATGAAAATGTGATCGCACAACAATCTTTAGCAAATGCCATATAGAGGGGAGAGGGGGAGATCATGTATGGCAAGGAAATTCTGGGCTTTCTCCCAGAAAGGTGCTTTTAAGAACACTAAATGGACTGAAGGCCCTCCAGCCAGTTACCGACTCGGGTCCCTGCCCAGCAGTCCCCATTGGGGGCTGGAGAAATGTAACGCTATTCCCCTCCCCTCGCCCCAAGCCCTTACCTCGGAAACCGCCTTCTCACAGCACGGGGTCATTAGAAGGAAAATAAACTCCTGCCAGGTTGGTGCTAATCAAAATAGCACAAATAAACCCTGACACTCAACAACTCCCCGAGTGCCTGCTGCCCTGGGAGGGAGTACAGATTGGTTATGAATATGCCCGGCCGCAGGGCCAGCCCCCCAAGGCCCGCCCGCCCGCTCGGCGCTCATGGCCCAGGAGCGATTGAAATGCACAACGTGGACCGCTGGTGTTTATTTCAGATAAGCGCTGACAAGCGGAGGCAGCAGGACCCCCAGGCTGCCTCCCAGGCCCCCAGCACCCCCGAATCCTAAGGTTCCAATAACAGACCTTCAGGTGGGAGCGGGATTGGAAGCCTTTAACAGCCATCGCCTTACTATCTGCCACTTACAAGGCCTCCTCCGTAACAACAAAGCTAAAAGTAAAAATAAATAAATAAAAATAAATGAAACACGTATTTCTCCCTCGTCCTCCATGGCAGTTCTGCGAGTGATTATGTTTTGTAGCAGCATTCACTGGTCTGTTTACATAAAAACAACCAGTGCCCTTTCCCTTTCCCCTGGCACAGCAAAGTTTTGCTTAAGGAGCCACAGAATCCCAAGCAAACTCAGGAGTAACGCTGAGGTCCCACTTCCTGAACCCACCCCTGCAAATCATTTCTACCGGCAAGGTTTGGGAAATAGCTTCTTTAAACTCCATGGTAACCGCCACCAGCGCATTTCAAAAGAGAAAAAGAGAGGAAAACCCTAAGAAAATGTGTTGCTATTCAATTAGGGAAACTGATTAGTTCACTAATTAATCAGCTAACAGCTTTCTAAGAATAGTCTCCCATGATAAGAACTTTCCCCCTCAAGAGCTTAAAAGTCAGTCATAATTAAAGGGAGGAAGGGAGGTCCCCATGTCGCTGAGAGCTGTAAGCGGCTTCTGGTTTCTCCGGGTGGGTGCGGTGCGATTGGCTTGCACGGGGCAGAGAAAGGTAATTTGCACACTGAAGGGGAACAGGAAAACAGTAGTTCTCCTGAAAGGAAAAGGGCCAAGTGACTTTTATTTACAATTGCCAAGAGAGAGGCTATTATTGACCATATGCGCCACAATTGCCCCTCTTATCTCGGGCTGGCCATCATGTCCTCTGGGAGCTGTTAATGAACTGGGTAATTGAGCTGCTGACATGTGTTACCAAAACAAAACAATAGGAAGAAGAGACAAATGAACATTTTATTTGCCAATCAGAGTAGGTTCGGCTTTTCACGGAGCCTCGGCTAAGTAACTGACTGAATACATAAAGCAGTGCATTGAAAGCAAGCAGATGCAGACACAATAATAGTTAACTGACAGCTTATGGCCCATCTGTGCTTAACATTTTGTTAAAGAAATTACTTGACTTGCTAAGGAGACAAATCATACAGCTGCCCCAAGCGCTGCGTTATAAGACATAAATCGTTCGCCAAACTGTTTCATTCTTAAAATGACAATGCTTATTAACAGTTATGTCGGGACATTTTGTGAGCACAGCTTGACACAGATATTACTTACTAAAAATGTGACAACTATAGATATCCGATGGAATTGAGCTGGGGAGGGATCAAATCAGTGCAAACAGTTTGAAAGAGCAATAGGCATTTTTAATCACTCATGATTCAATATGTGTTTCTAAGATGTTATGAATGTTGGGGGGGGGGCGATGAAATAAAACAGGAGGTCCTGTTCCATGCAGTAATTATGGACCTTCTTCCATTTTTACCATATTTCTTCAGAACTGCAGAATATTAGAAATGCTCTCATCTGGGCTGGTCTCATTCATTTCCTCAAGGCTATCAGAAGAAAAACTAAGTAGTTTGAGAAATAATTGTATCTGGTCACTTCGCTTTCCCAAACATACTCACCTTCCTCTTTTGAAAAAAAATATTTATTTGATAAGGAGAGAAAACCCATGTTGCCAAAGACTACCTTTATGAGGATATTTAGCTTATGTTTTTGTTACTGCATGTGAATTAAAACCACACTTTTTTGATGTAAGTGTGCTTCATCCACTGCAAACAACTTATCTCTGGGATTTTTTCTATGGAACCTGGTTAACCAGAGGCAGAGCACAGCTCTCTCAAAGCCCTTCTTATGACAGTTCCTTTTACTTGCTGGGCAAAATTAAATCAATAATAGTAAAGGCGATATAAGAAAAGCTGCTGTTCACTGACTCACTCCCTGACAGCTTATGATACCCAACCCTTGCCTTCTGCGCCCCTTAAGTACGTTTTCTTTCATCTTTACCAAAACACTATTTGGAGGGGTATTGTCACCCCCATCTTACAGATGAGAAAAAATGAGGCCCAGAGAGAAATGTTAACGCACCTGCTCCATGAGAACTCAGAGAGGCTGCCCAGATACAAGATCGGATATATCAAATATGCAATCTTATAGACAATCATTTGAGGGACAGGATTGACATGGGTTGGAAGGAAAATTGTGACCAATATTGTCACATCTTTTTCTTCCAGGTCTACAGTGCCAGGACTCAGACGTCACAGCCAACCCTGTAAGTCAGTTGTAAAAACATGACCATAAAGTGGTTGGTGAATGTGAAAATTATGTTACCTACAGTTACTAAGAACGAATTCTGGCTATGAAACCTAAATCTTAGCTGTATTTGCCGAGCTATAGGTGCGACACAATTAGGCTCGTGACACAATTGCCACAAAGAACCACCCTGCCTTCAACTTTACTTTCCACTATCAAATGTTTCGCTATTGTGTGCATCCGTCATTTTTAAAGCCAACAAGTACACCAAGGCTCAATACATAAAAGAGGTAACACGTTACACAGAGAGCCTCTCAGGGGTAGAAAACAAAAGAATGCTTTGCCACCCTTGTTAAGACAAGACTAGCCAAAACACACAAAACCTAAACAGCTCTATCCACAATTACACTTTGCCAGGATTAGCATGACTGGAGATGTTTAGAAAATAGAAGGCAGATTTAAGAAGAAAGTTAAATACTACCCTTTTTGTGCCAGAAACCTACGTAAGGAGGTAAAAAGATACACGATTAAGAGACCTGAACTACCAGAGCAAAGCATTTACAATATGGCAGATCATCGGAAGAAACAGCCAAAACCCAGAGAGAGCAGGTGGGGTTGTCCCAAATCTTTCATCTTTCAGTAAACAAATTTCACACCCAAAGATGTGGCTGATGATATTGCCCTGGGTGCCATGGATGCAGCTATGAATATGATACGGAGCTTAAACTCGGGAAGTAAAACTCAAATCACCTAACTCCCACTCCAGCGCTCTTTCCACTGAAGCCAAGGACCGCATCCAGCTATACGGAAGATAATCCGGCCATGTCCTGCAGCAACAGAGAGATTAAACAGCCTCTCAAGGCTGGGAAACCTAGATACATTATTTACTAACAGAGCCACAGATCCTGAGAGCCTGTGATCTCTAATAGAGAGATCAAATTAATACAGAATTGCTTTAACTGGCACCTCCCACATGGCATTTCAAGACTATTCTTTGCTTTCCATGTTCTGTTGGGTTCCATAAGGAAGAAAAGGGGCAGAGCAGGGGGTTTGTTTTGAAACTCCAAATCTTATCTGGCTCAATGATTGCTTGTTGGGAGATATAGAAAGAGGTAATCACTGAACATACATGAAAGAGGAAACTCTCCCTGGAGGCAACAGAGAAGGCTGAGCTTAACTCTCACTGGCAAAGGAATTAGTAGCAACATCAAGGTCAAGGTCATCATCAGAAGTCATTCACGGGATACCTACTGTGCGAGAAGTGCTTCTCTAGAGGCTGGGAGGGAAAGGATAATAAAGAAGAGAGTGTGGTTTCTCCCCTTCATCCTGCAAAGGTATGAGACTCTGGTCCAGGAGGTTGGCTTTCTGATTACTGTCATATCCCACCAGATGATATGAATGATTTATCACCATCCTTGGATAGGGACAGCTGCTTTTTGAAATTTTGTGGGGGTTTTCCTCCTTGTGCCTAAGCAACAGTCACCATTGAACTGAGAAGAGGTGATACCAGATGTCTGAGCAAATGAAGTTGTGTGTCATGGTGGAGACCGCTAGCTCAGAAACAGGTGGATCTACTCCAAATACCCCCCTGTCCACTTCCTCTCTGGTTGGAGCAAGATGCCTAACCCTCTCAACCAGTTTGTCATTAGTAAAATTTTCTTTAAAACATCTGCTTCAAAGGCTGGTTTTACGGAAAGGAGATAATTTGGAAAGCACAGAATGTGTCCCAACCCAGAATGTATCCTCAGCAAAGGTAGTCCCCTCTGTTTACATATCATCCAACCCTATTAGGCATAAAAGAATAACATGCTCCTTATCAATTCCCTTAAAAATCAAAAATATAGGCCAGGGTCCTGTACTCCTCCTGGCCCCAGACACATGTCAGTGCTGTGGGATCAATGATTAAGTAAATAAATTCTGTGCTCCCAAATACGTCGGAGCCTGGGTAAGAAGGCTGAGCTTAACAAAATCAGGCAACCAGGGAAAAGAAATTCAGAATACTTGGCCTCTCCTTTATGCCAGCATTCACTTTGGTTTCCTTGAGGAAGAAGTTTGAATATGTTTGCTTGGAGGCAAATTCTTATCTTCTTTTATGTCTACTGATATGTATCTATATAAACAAAATAAAGTAAGGATTTGAGCAAGTCCCTATTTAATCACTTTGTTTAGTGTCAACAGTCAATGAGGATATACCAGGGACCCAACTCAGGAAAAAAACAAACAAGAATTTCTTCAGTAGCAGATTCCTGCATGAATTATGCAGCATTGCTTCTTCCAATTTGCTAACATATACCTGTGGAAACATTTGAGTGTGCAAGTATAAGCATTTGCCCATCTCTATATATGAGGACCGAGATAAGTGACTTATTCTCATATTGCAGTCCCATCACACAGAAATATAATTCATTCAAACGAGCATGGAAGCTACTCTCATATGGCTTTCTCTGTACACTCACAATAAATAAGCCACTGTTTTAATAAAGTTTGTCAAAGGCCTGAGACATCAAAGGTAGTTGATTACTCCTCCCAAATCTTCATCCATTTCTAAGCAGGCTGCCACTAAGAAAGAGGGGTCCTTCAAATGCTTTCTTCTTCTTGATAGAAGAAGCCAGAGCAGGATCAATGTGTGAATGTCTGAGCATAAGACTGTGTATAGAGAGGTTACCAACAAAAGAAAACAAAGTGAAGTGCGTGTAATTGCAGGAGGAAAAATTAGAAATATATTGCTGCTTAAAATATTTTTCCGCTACTTGCTATTGATGTTCATGTGTTGTGTTAAATGTGCTGCTTAATATAGAATTTTAAAAGTTGGAAATCATTTAAAAAATCATCAAACCACACTTGACCTTACAGATTAAAAAATAATAATAATAACAGAGTTTCAAATGGATGAAATGATATTTCTGTCATCACCTGGCTTGCTGGGGGCAGAGCTAAATTTCAAACTTAGATATTCAAATTCTGAATTCTGGTCCTTTGCTTTTTGTCACACTATCAATTTGCCTGAACTTTGAATTTTCTGTGGATCTGTGGGTGAACTGACATCTATTTTCCAATCAGCTTTGGTAGCTAGAGTTCTCCTTCCACTGATAGACCCACTGAATCACAAAATTAATTAAGCAACTTGGACTCAAGTCTGAGCCCAGAGGAAAAACACAAATAAATGTTTAGCATCTCAACCACTCTCTGTACACCTAACTATGATATGATGCTGTTTTTGTTTTTGACTTTAAAAATTATTTACCTCATTATATATTTAAAACAACTCTGTGAGACATTATTGTTCTTGTTTTTAAAATGAAGTTGACACTCGAGTATTTAAAAGGATTTGCCCACAGTGTCTGCAAGCCAATTAGGTGTCAGAGTTAAGTAGTTAACCACCAGTCTTCACTCTAAAAATTCATAAAAATTATTTCTAGATCTATTTCTTAATATCATTCACAAGTTTCTTCACTTAAGTAGCATGGATATTCAAATATTGATTACTAGTAAGCAATATTTACAAGAAATAATAATTAACATATCTCTGAGTAAATCAGCTTTAAGATGTAGAAACAACTAATGTGCAGTTGAGAAAAACCTGCTAAGAGTTCACCATGTGGAATTTTTTAATATATATATTTTTTATTGATTTCAGAGGGGAAGGGAGAGATAGAAACATCAATGATGAGAGAGAATCACTGATCAGCTGCCTCCTGCATGCCCCCCCCCGCCCCCGGAGGATCAAGCCCACAACCTAACCCTTGACCAGAATCAAACCTGGGATCCCTCAGTCCACAGGCCAATGCTCTATCCACTGAGCCAAACCAGAAAGGGCTACCATGTGGAATTTTAAGTTTTCATTGGGCTGGAACAAATCTCCTTCCCAGAATCCCACGTGCTTGCCAAAATGGACAAAGGATTGGTCATATCTGTACTTTGGCACCCTAACTCACTGTCTCGTTCTACTTGGCATGCCCTGTGTGCCCATCTTTATACAATGCCATGCCTAGGTCTCAAACCCAGTTGCGCAAAACCTCCCCTGAATCTCCCAGGCACAAATAGTCCCCTTTCTCTGTACTGTAGGAGCACTTCATATTTTTCATACATTCAGCATTTTCCCTCTTAATTGAACTATTGACTAAACTTTCAGGTCAACTCTTTTGCTACCACACTTACTTCTCTGAATGAGCGCTTCCTTGAATTTATATAAGTATAGTTGTGTGTCCCAGTGTTATTTTTTTCATTTAAAGGGTCAAACAGTCAGAGGTCAGCAAAGCCACTAGTAAGTTCATATGGACAAATCTAACAAATGTAAACGCTGCCTACTGAGAGCAGATTTTGAGGGAACTTGGTTCTCTGCTTGCCAGTTGAGTAGTTTTACAAGCAAAAAATTAGAGGCCATTCTAAGAGAAATGCTTTGTGTGTCAAAGTTTAATGGCTATTTTACTCCTGTGATGTTGAAGAATTCAGAAATGAAGAGAAATTGACTGATGATGTCATGGCTTTATCACAAAATAAGGAAAGAATAAATTGAAAGGAGCATGGAGACCATTCTACCTCAGTTTTTCAAAGGATTCCAGTTTGGGAGGCATCCATAGGCAATAGATAAAGAGACCCTTTCTTGGCCTCAGTAGTTACTAATGAGAGAAAATATGTGCAAGTATTTAGTAAACTGTAACATTCACATAACATACATGTTTTTATCATCATCATCATCATTACCACATTGTGATAACATATTATAGTTATTTTATACCAGATAATTGAACACTAAGTGAATAAACTTTATTGAACAATATTAAAGAGGAATTCTATTAAGCCAGTGATGGTGAACCTATGACACGCGTGTCAGAGGTGACACACGAACTCATTTTTTGGGTTGATTTTTCTTTGTTAAATGGCATTTAAATACAGAAAATTAATATCAAAAATATAAGTCTTTGTTTTACTATGGTTGCAAATATCAAAAAATTTCTATATGTGACACGGCACCAGAGTTAAGTTAGGGTTTTTCAAAATGCTGACACGCCGAGCTCAAAAGGTTCGCCATCCCTGTGTTAAGCCTTTCACTTTCTACAGAAAATAAAAATATATATGTGTTTGAGATTCTTCTCTGATAAACTAAAGACACTTGCCCCTCTTTTTCTCAAACACCCTGATTTTCTTTGCATAAAGAAAGACACCAACAGAACCATTCCACGCTCAGCTTCACACCCCTTTCCCTGAGAAAATCTGTCCTTTTCACAACTTCTTCTTCAGTCTTAGGCCTTCAGGAAGTTTTACTTCCAGCTTCCAGAACTGTACACATCTATCAACAAAGACGTGTTTCTTCTCCACTTCCAAAAACATCTGAGTAAGCCCCAGCCTGAAAATACAGATCCAAAGCAAATCCATGTTCTGTGGTACCCGAAGCTTTTACAGTCTGGGGGAAGGAAGTGCTTAAACACACACACACACACACACACACACACACAAAACTAGCTTACTTTTGCATATTTTACCAAAAGCATATGACCATGTGACACACTGTTGGGGTCCTTAGCAGGGATTTAGAAGGAGTCCTTTCTGGTGAGCACTCTGAGGTTAGCTTCACTGTGAATCCTCTTTCTGCTCATGAACCTCTGGTAGAACCAGGGTCCCTAAGTGCAATGCACAAGAAGAGGACACTCTCTATATTCACCCTCCCTGCCACGAAGACAATGTAAACATCCCTGAACAACAGCAATAACGTCCCATTCTACCCACCAAATAGCAGGGACAGACAAGTCAACCAATACTCATGATTATAAATTCCCTAGAGTCTTCCATGGGGCCATGGGGTTTCTTCCCCACTTCCACTGAACTCAACCCTCGGAGGCAGCCACTTCCTCAGTCTGTGAGTAAAATCCATCCTATAAATTATAATAATGGAGTCATACGGGTCATGGATAGTTCAGAAAACTTTATGATAAATATGGAAAGCCATTTTTCTTTGTTTTTCTAACCTTCAAGGAATACCTTGGGAACCTGGGACATGTCCTAGGTAGGGATCACCTAAGTGGGTTGATGGTCTCATGAAATTACCACCATGATTTCCTCCACAAGCGTATTCCTTACATTCATTAGGCCTCAAAAAGAATGTAATTGAAACAACTTGTGAAATCCTGTTTTAAATATGATTTTTTTCTACAATGAGTATGTATTATATTTATAAAAATTGAGAAGTACCCCCAAACAAGCTTGGGTACTTTTATGGGAATTTGCAAAGAAAGACACCAACAAAACCATTCCACACTCAGTTGAGTCAATTCAACATTTTAGGCAGCATGTGAAATCTTTTTGTACCTAAAAGATGCACCCTTCGTAATTTGAAAAAAGGCAGAGTAATAATCATGAACACTACTAAACGTGCATGCATGTTAATTAACTTTGTAACATCTTGCATAGAAAATATTTGCACCACAGAAACTTTGGGGAAAAAAGTATTATAAAAAGGGGAACTTGCACCACATTTAGACCAGATAAAATTGAAGTGGAAGAAATGGGGCAATTACAAGTCACAAGAAAAAAATAATAATGCTTTTGTTTAAATTCATGCAAAAGGCATTACAGTTTTATTTGCCAAAATATTTCCTTGCATTTATTCTTTACTTGTATCTGAAAAGTGGCTCTCTTCTCATCTGATATCTTAAATTCTGAATATGACATAGGGTCTCACACAGTTTTACCCCAGATGATTCATTTGGGTTTAAAATTCTTTATGTTTCTTCACAAGTTTCACATTATCATTTAAGATTTATTAAACATGAAATTTTGACCTGACTTTGCCAAGACTCCACAAAGTTGAAAATCACATTTGCTTTTAAAGGACCGCCTACCCCCATCACTTTGTCTTCTGGAAGTGTTCCAGTGTGTGGGTCTAGCTCATCTTGGGCAAATGCGAAAGGTGATCAACATACCTTCACATATTTGGCCGCATAGCCAGCAGTTGCCAACAGAATTCTAATAACAGAATCGCCACAAACATGGCATAATGCTGGAAATACAATAACACTTCCAAATTGAAGATATGAAGGTCTGTGCCAGAGTCATCTAAATACTACCCACTGTCTATCTTTGCATGTCCTGTGACCTAAGAATGGTTTCTACATTTTTAAATAGTTGAAAAAACATTTTTAAAAAAGAATAACATCAACACACGAAAACTAAAATAAAATGTATTGGAACATAGTCATGCCCATTCATTTATGTATTTTATGGCTATGTGCTATGAAGGCAAGTTGAGTAAAACCAAAAATTTTCACTGCATACCTTTTACAGAAAAAACTTTTCCTGGTCTATACAACAGCCACCATTTTATGGGTACTTATTATGCACCACGTACCTCATGAAGCATCTCTACCTGCTCCCATTCATCTAATTCATCATTCAAATTAACACTATATTATCCCCATTTTACAGATGAAAAACTGAGGCACAGAGAAAGTTACATAGCTAGTATGGAGTGGAGGTGGATTTTGCATAATATCTTTCTCTTGTGGAAGTTCGTGTTTATAAATTCCAAATTTCATAAACCCCACATTTCCAAAGCTCATCACAACTATCATCATCTGAGGGCAGACAAAACTCTCATTTTTCCGTAGCATGATGCAAGTCCCAACCCCTGTGCAGTGTGATGGAGGGATGTCTCGTCCTGTCTCTGCTGCAGTCACTGCCCCACGTCAAGGCGTGAAGAAAGCCAGAGTTATGGGGGATTTTTCCCATAAGGGCCCACATCTCTGTGATGCTACTCAACTTCACACAATAGGTGCCAAATGGAACTCATAGATTCATTACACCCCAATACCAAGCTACTGCTCAGTCCACAAGGAGACAGAGAACCAAGACACTCTTTTAATTGGACAACAGTTTTCCAGGTGGCCTGAGCCTTCCTACTGTGGTTGTATTAGCTTAATATTGACCCATGCTTTGATTTTAGATTCTTGGATTGTCTTGGATCTCGGTGCCATGAACTCCATGACCTCTGACATGCACCACTGGCTGCCCCGCAGAAATGCTAGAACCATAGCATCATCTAGCCCCCAATCCTGGGCCCAGATGCCCCAAATACCATTCCAATCTTCTTCATCTAAATGGACACCACCATGACAGCAAATTTACCTATTTGGAAAACAAGGAAGCTAGAAACAGGACAAAATAAAGAACTGGTATTCCATTCCCGGGATTCTCTTTTCAACCCAGACATTCAGTTCGGCAAGTTATCTAAACCAGTGGTCGGCAAACTGCGGCTCGCAAGCCACATGTGGCTCTTTGACCCCTTGACTGTGGCTCTTCCACAAAATACCGACTTCTGTGCATGGGCCATGAAGTTTCAATCGCACTGTACATGCGCACCCACACGTGGTATTCTGTGGAAGAGCCGCACTCAGGGGGCCAAGGATCCGCATGTGGCTCGCCAGCTGCAGTTTGCCAACCACTGACCTAAACTGTATGGCTCCCAGATTCCCCATCAGTAAGGAAGTAATAATAATAATAATCCACAGGTGATTGAAGAAATAATTCACTGGGTGTGAACAGACTTTAGAAAATGTGGAATAGAAATATAAAATGAAAATAAATATAGTGGTGGAGTATAAAATGTATATCCTGGTTTGACATTAATATAATAACTTTCTCAAATGCTAAAGGCATTTTGGGGTGTGAATCAGGATCCAAAACTTCATGCTAAGCAAGACCCTGTCTATATGAATAAACCCTACATGGCACACCACCAGAAACAGCAGTGAAACAGTTGTCAAAGGCATCTCTACAGTCCAGGTTACAGAGTATATAACCTATGCCATACATATGTTTAGGTATATGTTTTCTTTCCCAGGGAGAAAAAAGATCAAAGCTTATAATAACCTCATCTCAAAATGTGTCTTTAATTCTACATTCATTTATTCACCAACTGTTTATTTAATGCCCATACTATGTCCAGTTCTGTGCAAAGCAGAATATTCAAACAGGTGAACAGAACAGAGTTCAGTCTAGCAAATATCAAATTTAAAAAAAGAAAAAAAATCTGACATCCAATCTCCAAGAAACGCCAATTGCAAATGTTTTTTTAAATGGAGAGTTTCACTTTCAGTTTTCAGTCAGACATGGTAGATGGTCAACCAGATAACAGTTGGATTTCTAATCCCATTTTGTGTTCAGTGGCTATGTTATTTGCCTACGGGTGAGGGGGAGTAGCTGTAACGGTCTTTTTTTTTTTTCACCTTACATTCTGTCAGTCTTTTCTTGCCTTATATTTAGGTTGATTTTGTTGTACTGAAATACGCATCTGTTCTCATATGATTCTTCCTGCAGCACTGTCCAATGCTTCAGACACACCAGGTTACCCTGAAGGACTGAGATTCAGGGTCTCTTAGATGTCCAGAAAGGCCTTAGGAAATCTGGGTTTCCCAGAGTCTCTGAGTATTAATTTATCACCACGGCATCTCTGAGATCCATCTCTGGGTCTACCCCTAAGCTGATGTTTCTGTCAAACGCCATGGTTGCCAGAGAGTTCTGTGGCTGTCTAAGACCACTCAAAGATCTCTTAGAAATCTCATTTTCTTACCACTCCACAGAAATAAGTATGTCAAACATCTCAGTTAATATACTATGTTTAAGGTTTATTTTATCATAGAATCTCCTATACTTAAGGTTTACTATGAAATTTTCTATTCTCAATTCAGTCAGTTGGGCAAGTTGCAACATTAATAGAATTAGGGAGTTTACAGACGTCCGTGGGAAAAGAGAGAATGAATAGTCTTCAAAAACATAAGTCATGGGATCTGATTCTAATACTGAAAATGACTGTGTAATCCCACACTAGGGTATGCAGTAGAAAATGCCCTCCCTCCTACATATGGTCAAGATGTCAAGGACATGGGAGGAGGGTCTCAGGACTTCCTAAGTGGAGAGTCCCCATTGTGTGATAAAGTTTTAGCATTACTACTCCATGGGGACACCCTCTACAAGCAACTGCATCATGATCACATGAGGTATTTGTTTAAAATGATGATTTCTGAGCTCCACCACATCGGCAAAATCAAAAGCACTTGATGTTGATCCCAGAGATATTCTTTTAAGCAAGGAACCCAGAAATGACCTATAACAATACTAATACTTACTTAGCGTTTACCATGTCAGTCAATTTTACATGTATAAGCTCGGGTTCTCTTAAGTGTGACTCCTTGGTTCTGTGAAGTTGGTGAATCACTGGGCTAGATTTGGGAATAAGATGCACACAGTCCAATCCTGGACCAGTCATTTTCCTAGCAGTGTGGAACTTAACCTCCCCAACCCCAGGGAATTCCTGTGCAAAACAGGAGTGGTAATTCTCACTTTGCATGGTGT